TGGGGGAGAGCGGACATCCCGCCGCCGTGCGCGTCGCGCTGGCACCAGCGGAGGCGCGGACATTGCCCCAGAGGACCCAAATGCTCGTCGTCGGCCTCCACGCGAAGAGCCCCCTCGAGAGCGTCGCCGCGAACGCCACAGGCTCGACCCCTGCACCCTGGCGGCGCCTCCGCAGCGGGCCGCCCAGTGGACTCTGGTGCCCAGGCTGATGCCCTTCAAGTCCGCGATCCCTGGGCTGCATCTGGCCAGCCCTTCTTCACCAGCCAGGACGTCGCCGCCGTGGAAGCCATGCCCACCTTCGCCAGCCAGGCCCGCCCGAGGCACTGACTCGCTCGCCAGCAGGGGGCTCTGCATTGCTTCCTGGAGCGCCAACGGCCTCCTGTGCCACCGCGCGCACGAGCGCAAGGCCAAGCTGGCGCGCCTTGCCCAGCTGATGAAGCTCCGCAATCTCATCGTCGCCCAGGAAACTCACGGCTCGGAGATCAAACTCAGGACCCTGATCGACCAGCTGCCGTACCACTACCGCACCTTCTTCTCTGCGGGCGCGAACCCTGGCACGGGTGGCCTGGCCTTCTTGGTTCCGTGGTTCTCTGAGGCCGAGCTGCGCTCCCTGGACCAGCGCCTGCTCCCCTCGGCCACGATGGAGACGGCGGTGCCTGGGCGGGTTGCTGAGCACACCTTCTCCAACGCGCGCGCCAACGATCACATCCGCATCCTCAACATCCACAACCATGACGTCCCGCTGGCCCCCTTTGCCTCCATCAAGCGCAGCTGGATGGATGGGGCCCGATGGGCGCAAGATGACGAACGCCACCGTATCTTCATAGCCATCGGCGACTTCAACATCGCTGACCTGGAGCCGCTGTCCCTGGAGAGGCCCTCTGTCGCTGACTGCAGGACAACCAACCGCGATGCCGCTACCCTGACTCCAAATGCCACTACGCGGCGTGGTGGCAGCTGCAGTTCCTCTTCCTCATCCTCATCGGACTCTGGGCGGGGTCGTGCTCGACGGGCGGGCAACATCCGCTCCGTCTGGCATCGCGGCAACCAGGGCCAAGGCTTCTGGAGAGCGCTCTTCCAGCAAGCGCTTGCAGAAGTCACATGCGAGCTGCCCACGCACTTCTCCAAGCAGTACCAGACCTGCTCCTTCATTGACCGCGCCTTCGTCTCCTTGAAGTCGCACTCCATTCTGAACGCGGCGATCTCGCTCGAGATCTGGCAGGAGGCTTCGACGCTGGCGGACTGGGGCCTCAGTGACCACGCCGCCACCCAGCTGAAGGTTTGGGCTCGATCGCCATCCGAGCCCACCGAGCAGCCCATCCCACCAAACATCTTCGCTCCCCTCGATGCGTGAAGCACGTGAAGTCCCTGCTGGACGTCGCTGACCTGGACTCCCTGGAGGTGGCCTCCCGCTGGGCCCTTGTCAAGGAAATCATGACCGAGGCGGCGCGCCTGACCAGGAACGAGATCCAGGCCCTCCCGATCGGCGACTACAGCGAGGATGCTGAGGGCGGCAGACGGCTTTCCATGCGTGCCATTGCGCGAGCCGTCTGACGTCAAGATGCGCACCTCGCGCGTCGCCTGATGCGATCGACGGCGCTGGGCGAGAAGCACCTGTCCGTCAACCCTGCTGAGTGGGCTCCCTCCTCGCTGCTGAGGACTTCGATCGGGACTGCCGCTTGCTGCGCGCGGCCTGGCGCGAGCGCCAGCGCGCTGCGGCCGCCGCGCGGCTCCGCGAGGAGGCGCGCCTCAGGCCTGGCGCCGAGGGGCCCGACAAGTGGCAGCTGCTGAAGCTCCAGCGGGCGGCGCAGCGTAGGGCCATGCTCTGGGCGCCCTTTCGTCGACGCCTGGTCCTCGCTGGAGTCCGCTTGGAGAGCGCCGGCCATAGTGCGTCCATCGAGCGTGACCCTGTCTGCGTGTTCGACGCCCTGCGCTCACACTGGAACCCCCACTTCACGGACCAGCCTGTCGACATGGACGCGATTGACCGCTACCTGGACATGTATCTTCCCTCCTTCGAGGCGCCCTTGCTGCACGTGCCATCCGTCAATGCTCTCCGTGCAGCCCTTCGGCGTGCGACTCCGTCTGCGCCTGGCCCTGACCGCCTGATGGCCAAAGCCTGGATGGCGGACGAGCGGCTCTCTGACGTCCTCCACTCCCTGATGCTGCGCCTCTTCGCGGGGGGAGGCGCTCCCCTGGGCTTCAACTGCGCGGACATGGCCTTCATTCCCAAGGGCTCGGAGGCGTCCGACTCCTTCGACGTGGCCAGGTCGCCTGGCCGCGTCCGCCCGCTGAGCTTGAAGAACGCTGACGCGAAGGCGGTGGCGTCGGCGACGAACATCCAGCTAGGTCACTTGACTGCCCACCGCGCGCACCCTGCGCAGCAAGGCTTCATTCGCGGCCGCAACTTCCTTGGCCACATTGCCCGCCAGGATGCGATCGCTCGAGCCGCGGGGCACCGCCCTGACCTCTCTCCTGCTTTCGTCTCCTTCGACCTTCGAGCAGCTTTCCCTTGCCTCTCCCAGGCGTTTCTCCACCGAGTGCTCGAGCGACATCGCATCCCGACGGGTTTTCTGAATGTGATTTCTGCTATCTACTCTGGGGCTCTCGCCCGCGCCCGATGCGGCTCCGCCAGGCTCCCGCTCTCCATGGCCCCCATCAGGGGTCGCCCAAGGATGCCCCCTCTCAGGCACCATCTGGGCTCTGTGCATGGACCCCTTCTTACGCCACCTTGAGGCCCAGATAACCAGCCCTACAGCTCGTGATATGCGCCCTCGCCCATTCAGTTGGTGCCCAGGGCTCTTTCCTGAATGTAGAGCGACGGCGGACGATGTGGGACTCGCCCTTCCCTCGATCTCGCTCCTCCCCGCTCTCGCCCCCCCCCTGCGACGCCGCCCGCGCTCTTGCGAACCTGCCCCTCCAGCCCGAAAAGTGTCGTGTCGTCCCCCCGGCGGAGTCTTGCACGCCAGCCGTGGAGGCGAAATTCCAGAGCATGATAGCCGATCTCGCCCATCAATGGTCAGAATTTCACGTGCGTGGACACACAACCTCCCTTGGCATCGAGTTTGGCCCTGGAGCGTCTTTAGAACAGCAATGGGCCGCCCCCTCTCAGAAATGGCGCGCCCGCACGATCGAGACAGCTCTCTCCCGCTCTCCTGCTGAAGCCAGCAGCAGGCTCTATAATTTCTGCACCCCCCCCTGTCCTTAGCTACGTCTGCCAGCTCTTCCCACATCCCCCGTCCCTCCTTCGGTCTGAGCGTCAAGTCCTTCACCGTCTCCTCCGTCTCCCCCCCATCTCGTTCGGCCTCTGGGAGCTCCTAAGTATTGGCTCCTGGCTCCCATCTGCAGTCCCACGATCCGCCCGCGTGCTCGCTGCCGCGTCTGCCTGGCGAACGGCCTCTCTCACTCTTCCTCGTGACGGGCCTCGGGGGCGGGCGGGGCCTCTGGAGACCCTTCGCGCGCATGGACAGCTGCACGGAACACTCAATGCTCTAGCGACAACGTGCTCCTCTCCACAATGTTGGGTACGAGGAAGCTCGATCGCTGAATTCCTCGAGACTTCCACCTCGGCGACGGCCCCTCCACCCGGCGTGGATGCCGTGGCCTGGCGCGTTGCAACGACAGCAGCCGACGCCGAGATCATGGCGGCGGCGCAGGACGCCCGCCGCCCTCGCCCTCAGCGCATCCTTTCCCGCCTCCTCTCCTCGTCTCTTTTCCCTGACGCCCTCCCCTCTCTGCTCCATCGGCGTCTCTCCGTCTGGCTCCCAAGGGGTGACCTCCCAGCGGCCCCCGAGCTGCTCGAGCGCTGGGAGGCCCTCCGAGCTGTCCTCTCACACACCCCTCCTTCTTGGGCGTGGGCCCACCTCAAGACCCTGGCGGGGGCCTGGACGACCTCCGCCCGTCTTCCCAGTGCACCTGCATGCTCCTGTCTCTTCGGCTGCTCCGACCCAGATGAGTTCCCCCACTACCTCGTGTGTCCTCGTCTTCTGCACCCCCATCGCTCTCCCTCGCGGGTCTCTCCCCGTCTCGCTTCTCACTCGTCTGGGTCTCGGAGCTGAGCCCGATTCGGAGTCAGAGCATCCCCGTCAGCGATGCCACCAGGTTGTAGTCCTCAGCTTTTACATCGATCACAAACTGAGAGCTGACCTTTCCCTGCGCCGTCGCCCCCCGACGCCGCAATGCCATTGCGAGATCCGAGCCGCCGCGCTCGCTGCCATGCGCCTCTAGCGCACAGGTCACTACGCACCGCCTCAGGTTACGTGCGCTCCTCCGCATGGGGGCGCCCTCCTCATCGTCATCTGTGGTGAAGAGGGTCACCCTGTCAATATAAGGGGGATATTAAACAATACCTCCCCTGTCTGGAGATACTGAGCTCAATGCCGTCGCTGCCTGAACAACAGTCAGCGGCAAACCCGCCGCAACGCAGAAGCAATCATAAACACTTGCGTTTCCCTCGAGGTAGCCCAGCGCCGCTGGGCGCCTCCTGGAGGGGCCCCAAGCGCGACGGCGCCCCCCTTGAGGGAGCTCAGCGCCGCTGGGCGCCCCCTGGAAGGGCTCCAAGCGCGACGACGCTCCCCTTTGAGAGAGGCCGGCGCTGCTGGGCGCCACCTGGATGGGGCACCAAGCGCGACGATGCCCACCTTGAGGGAGCTCATAACCAGAACCAGAACCAGAACCAGAGCCAGAACCATAACCAGAGCCATTACCAGAACCAGAACCATAACCAGAGCCAGAACCAGAGCCAGCGCCGCTGGGCGCCCCCTGGAGGGGGCCCAAGCACGACGACGCCTCCCTTGAGGGAGCTCAGCGCCGCCGGGCGCTCCTGGAAAGGGCCCGAAGCGCGACGGCGCTCTCCTTGAAGGAGCGCATTTCCGCTGGGCGTACCCTGGAAGGGCTCCAAGCGCGACGGCGCTCTCCTTGAGGGGGCTCAGCGCTGCGGGGCGACCTAGAACCAGCGAGAATCAGTCGCATTCACAATGCAGCTCTACACCTTGCCGAAGGAAGACAACGGTCGGCAGCTCGCTGTGAATACATCAAGTTCGAGAAGACCACGCGGACGGACATCGCGAAGGAGGTCTTTGTCTCTGGCACGGCGCTGGCCCCCAACTGGGGAAACTCGCCCGACAAGAAGACGCCGCTGAAGCTCTTTCACTATATGATGGACAGGTTGGGCGGAGTGCAGATCCGCCATTGAGTCCAGCCGTCCGCGGCCACCGCCGCAGCCGCAGGGGCCGATGTATATGACAAGGGCAAGCGGCAGGCGGGTTACCGTTACATCGAGAAGTACGGCCCGAGGGGCAACAATAAACACCAGTTCGTGGAGTGGACCGACGAGATGATTCACGACTAGAACTCTCCGATCTTCGGATGGATGGCATCAGACGTCAAGGAGTCGCTCCGCAACTACGCGTCGGGCACTGTCGGCGCGAGGACACTCGAGCGCTGGGCGGTCACTCTCAAGCGGATTGGCCCGTTCCTGTTCGACCGCATCGTCGCCCCCATCCTTAGGGGCCCCGACGTCCATGGGACCATGTGGATCGGAAAGACCAGGGTCGGCAAATCCACAGCATCCAAAACGATCGGCTTCGCTATTTCTGCTTACCAGATTGAGAAGCACTGCCGCGCTGACCTCCGCCCGATCGTCATCGCTGCGAAGAAGATCGGCTTCCTGCGATTGGAGCCTGGGACCATAATCAAGCCCGCCATCGCAGACGATACCGCGCTGGCCAAGTGGGGCCCCGACGAGATCAAGGCTTTCCTCGACCCCGCCGAGGAAGACGCGCTGCTTTGGGCGAAGCGGCGGCGCGCGGGGAAATACATTTCTTGGAAACAAAATTGTTTGAACGCATCCAAATTACGTTAATAAGTTTACCAGGGGCTTTGGTTGTGTTTTGTAGTTTTCCGCGCGCTGCACAGGTGGGGCGGCGCCTCTTTCGAGCAGAACCAGTCCCGCCAGATCTGCGTCAATCCGTATAACGAGGAGTTCGAGGCGACGGCCGAGTCCGTCAGCAGGGAGCAGGAAGAGGTAGCATTCAGTGACTTCATCCAGATCATCGGCTGCAGTTTCATCTGCGAAAAGCAGTGCAGCTACAAGATGGCGGACGTGGAGGCGTACATGGCGAGGTCCAACGTCGTGCTCCTCTCGCCGAACCGGGTGTACTTTCGGGCCGCATCCACGACGAAGGAGCCAGCCCCTCGCTTTCCGCGGCCAGTGCCCGCGAAACCAGATCTCTTCACGCCCGAGACGTGCGACATCCTCACGGCATTCAAGAAAGACCAGACTCGCGTTCCATCCGACTACGACCAACACATGAGGTGGGCCGTGGCCGCCATGAAGAAGTTAGCGCGGGGCGAGGAGCTCGGGCAGTCATCGACGGTCCGTGGCCCAACGCTCTTCGACCAGGACGCGCCCACGAGATGCAACTTCCCAGAGGTGGCCACGCAGCCGCCGAGCGACAGGCAGGGGAGCGAATGGTTCCCGCGAGCGGCCGCTGGTCAGCCGACCAGCGCCTCGCGCCCCGTTCGCGAAGATACGCGCGATGTCGATGAGCAGCTGAATGTCTGCCGCGCCGTTTAGCAATGCCTCTGCGATCGCGCGGTGGCCTTTCACGGCCACGTGAGCGACATCTCCTCGCCGCAGCCGCTTAAGCGCGGCGCCGAGCGCCTGGCTTGCCCCGACGTGTCCACCATGGACGAGGAGGAGCGCGAGAGGGCCATGCAGGCGATGAAGGAGAGTATCATCGAGCGCGGGAGGGAGGCCCACGGCTCGAGCATCGACCTGTTGTCCCCAGCGCGCCCGCCGGCCGCCGACGTCGCCTCGCAGGATATCGCCGCGGCGATGGCCGAGGGCGCGGCCGCCGCTTCAGGCGACGAGAGGTCCTTCCCGCAAGTGGGCGAGGGTTTGGCCTCTGACTGAACCGAGCGCAGTAGCATCTGCTGCAGCTGATGCGCACGCCGATGCGCAGCCCTTTTGCTTGCCACATATGAACCGTGAAGCTTATCTCTGGAATGCTGTCCGCGCTGCGAGACGCTGGGCAAACGTGCCGGGGGTGCCCGAGCGAGATGTGCGCGGATACGCATATTGTTTTTGATCTGTCGTGACGTTACGATTTTGCACAAAAGGCAACACTTGCATTCACCCATGCTGTTGTTTGGAATGGAAGGGGAAGCGTGGGGAATTTCTTCGGCGCACCCCTCAAACGTTCCGTGACCACGCAGATGAGCCTCTACCGAAGGCCCCAAGTCAATCTCGGCACACCCTCACACGGTTCGGCCTCCGCTCATTCGCGTCACTCTTGTATCCTTTCGCATTCCTCCTCCCTTAGCGTAGAGGGACTGAACACGCTGTGCTTTTCATGTTTTTTTTTTTTGGTTTTTCTGTTTTTTTTCGGATTCTTGGGAGAGACTAGCCAACTTGCGTAGTCTCTGCCAGAAATCAGAAAAGCCAGAAACACCTGAAAAACAACACAGCGTTTTCAGGCCCCTACGCTCAGAGACGTGACCCCTCAAACGAGCCCAAGAGAGTCGTTTTCAGTTTCTGAGAAGGAGGAGGACGGGATAACGAGGAGGAGACGGAGAAGGTAGAGGGACTGAACACGCTGTGTGTTTTCAGGTTTTTCTGTTTTTTTTCCTGGTTTTTCGGGTTCCTGGGAGAGACTAGCCAACTTGCGTAGTCTCTGCCAGAAATCAGAAAAAAAATAACACCAGGAAACAAATATACATATTTTTTGTAAAAAACTGAAACAACACAGCGATTTCAGGCCCCTACGCTCAGAGACGTGACCCCTCCTCAAACGAGCTCAAAAGAGTCGCTTTCAGTTTCTGAGAAGGAGGAGGACGGGATAACGAGGAGGAGACGGAGAAGGATGAGGATAACACGATCATTTGGCGGTTTGTTTGTTTTGGGGTGGTTTGGGGGTGTTGGGGCGGGGGGCGTCCACATTTATATACATACGTGTGCGTATAAAAGAAGATACATATGGTCATACATGGGTATATATATATACATCCGTATATATACACATATACATGTACACATACATACATATATATATACATATATATGTATATGTATATGTAAATGTATATATACATATACATAACTATATATGTATATGTATATGTATATACATATATATACACACCTACATACATACATCCACACAAATATGTGTGCATGTGTGCCTCTGTGTGTGTGTTGCCCCCCTTCTCGAGAGCGCCTCGGGGGGGTCTGGGAGCATCTTGGTGGCTTATTCAGGTGCATGCAGCGTTTTTTGGCAGCTGTTGGGGGCCTCTTGAGACACTGTTGGGTCATGTTGGCGGCTTCGGGCTTCCCCCGCTGCCGTGGAAGCCTCGGAAAGCTTTGGTGAGCGCCAAGGGAGGAGTCTGGGCGGCCCACGGAGCCTCGGGAAGGTGGGGGTGGCGATGCACGCAACTGGACGTGATGAAAGGAAGTGCTTCAGAAGACTACAGATGCCCTGCCAGGCAGCGCTTGGCGTTCTACCACGCCTCAGCATGCCAGGGGTCATTGCCGCGGATCACGCTTGCCGTGCATGATTACTCGTGACAATGCCATGCTACAAACGGAGTTTCTGTTCCGGAGCAGAAAAATACAGTTGCCGCTCTTGGGGGAGAGACGAGATTCTTTTCAGAGTCCCATAACATCACACCATGCCATGGAGGGTCGACCAGGAGAGTTGCATCGGGAGGTTCCCGGAAGCCCCGGGAGGCTTGAGAACACTCCAGGAGGCTGCAGGCTCCAGGAAGCCCAGGGGGGCCCCGGGACCCCCCTAAAGGCTTCAGAACCCCCTGGGAAGCCCCAGGACCCCCCAGGATCCCTTCACTCATGCCCATGCTCGGATCCGTTCACAGTCAAGCCCACTCACACCTAGACTCGGTCAGTTCAGACCCCTCCATACCCAAGCAAGCGCTCACAGGCAGACGCACGCACAATTAACTAAGACCCATTCCTACCAATACCCGCACTGATTCACAAAATCGTAAGGGCTTTGTTTTCTGCCGCCGGGCACCCTTCTGATTGCTTGCATGGCTGGGTCGATGGGGTTGATCAGTTGCTTTTTCTGATTAGTTGCCAGGCTGACAACTCGGTTGGTTGGCTGGCTGTCTGGATAGACGGATGGCTTTATTGAGGGCATCTTTGACCGTCTTGTGGGTATCAGACGTCTTGTATGCCTGGAGCCCGAAAAGGCGAGTGAGCCACACAGTACACATAATGTATCAAGTTTTTACGTATTGCATGTTACAGCCTTGCGTATTTCATATTATATGCTACAGTCAAGAGCGGAAGGGGGATCCGTGACTTCAGCCATTCTGGCGGCATTCTAGGGTGTCCTTTTGGGGCATTCTTGGGTGATGCGCCCGCGCCCCCCTGAAACCGCGCACCACAAGTCACTCGCTCGCAGAGCCACTCTTTTTGCCCAGTGATCATCGCGATGTGGCAGGCATGGCGTTTGCGCCTTCCACGAGCGGGTTTGCCAGGGGATCTATCAAGGGCCCAGTGGTGCCCAGAGTGTCGTGATCTTTGTAGTGGGATGGCCGTTTATTGTGTCCCTATCCATGTATGTATGGTTCAAGCATTTTGTAACACACCTTCACATTCGTGCTTCAGCATCTCTCAGCACCCTCCTCGGTGCCATGAAGCCGTCGGACACACCGGCGCTGTTCATCTTGCTAGGCTGCGCAGGAGCCTTGCACCTCGACAGGGCCGAGCCTCGCGCGGCGACCGCCACTGACGCAGCTGCCACCTGGGAGAAGCAGGCGGCGCAGTCGACCCTGACAGTGGAATACCCGATTGTCGGCGGCGGCGGTGGCGGCGCTTCCGGAGGCGGCGGCGGCGGCGGTGTGCTCCAAGGGTCGGGTCTGGTCATGTTTGTCGACGAAGTCATCACGGTTGGCGCAGGCGGTCTCGGAGGTTCGGGGGGCAGCGGCACCACTGCGGAGGCGACGAACGGAGGAGATTCTTCGATCGGCTCTCTGGTGGCATATGGCGGTGGCAAGGGTGCGGGGGGCAGTTCCAGGACTGCCTCCAGCGGAGGCTCAGGCGGTGGAGGCGCCTACGATCTGCCGAGTGTTGCCTACGCGGCTGGGGTCGCGGGACAGGGCTACCGGGGTGGGCGCAGCGACAGGGGGGGGTACGGCGCAGGCGGTGGCGGCGGCGGTGCGGGCGGCTTTGGGAGCGACGCGCCCCAGCAGCATTACGGAGGAGATGGTGGCGTTGGAGTGGCGTCGTCGATTTCAGGCACCTCTACGTATTACGGCGGAGGCGGTGGCGGTGGCGTCAACGCAAACTGCGGTTGCACCACTTATCCAGGAGGGGCCGGCGGCCTAGGGGGCGGCGGCGATGGAAGCAGTTACGGCGGTGGTGGCGGCGCTTACTTCAATGGCGAAGATGGGCAGGCAAACACTGGCGGTGGTGGCGGCGGCACGGATCCTGAGTCTTCCTTGGCTGGCAACGGAGGGTCTGGCATCGTGATCATCAAGTACCTGAGTTCCATCCCGTTGCTCCAAGGTGGCACAGTCACCACGAGCAATGGCTACCAAATTCATACTTTCACAGCAACTGGATCGCATACCGTAGCAGTCGAGGCGGCATGCGGTGCGTGGCGCTACTACAGGTACTATGTCCCAGTCGCGAGTGCAAACCCGCATCATCTGTGCATCAATGAGATGCAGTACTTGTACGGTGGTAGCGTGCTCTCAACACCTGCAACTCACTGCGGCAGTGCACCGTGCGCTTTTGCTACTTCCGGATTCTACTCGGATTGGAGCCCCGAGAAAGCTTTCGATCAAAGCAATTATGCAATGTATGGCAGTGGATATTGCAATGAAGCCGGTGATGGTTATCCCCGAGGGGCTGGGTGGTTGGCGTACGACTTCGGAGTGCCGACACAAGTCGATCAGGTCAAGATTTGGTTTTGGAGAGGTGATCACAGCGCGAGTGGGACGGCCTACATGGAAGGCTCAAACGATGCGGTCACATGGACAACTTTGAAAACGATTACAGACACTGGTTATGCGACACTCGATACGACCGTCGATTGTGTTGCATCGCCAAGTTCGGCGCCGACGCTGCTGATGAAGCTGAGGGCGGGCTCCAATACCTTCCAGTATGACGCAAGCTATTGGACCGACACTTCTGTGTTGAACGAAGCTGGCGGCGCTTCGGTCAGCGACTCTGACGACGAGGACGTCAAGATGTCGGCATTCAACACAGACCCGATCTCCGCCCTGACGTTGTGCTACAAGACGCTGGACAACTGCTACACGTACGAGCTGGGCGCGACGTACACCAGCGCAAGCGCTCTCTTCAGCTCGGGATTCATCCGCAGCGAATATCTGGGTTATGGCGCTGGAGCCGCCGACGCAGCGAAGCAGGCCTGGACAGATCTGTTTTTGCCGCCGGGGACCCCGACCTGGTACGACGACTATTGGAACGGGAACGGAGGCGGCAATTGCAATATGCAGCGGCCAGGGATCAACACCCAGTGCAATGACAACAACTGGGCCCGCATCGGGTACTGCGTGAACCTCCCTGACCAGAGCTGCCAGCCATATGATTCCAGCGACGCCGACTCTCCTATTGGGATCGGGCTGAAGACGCAGAATTGGCCCAACAACGTCAATGCCCCTTTCGGGGAATACTTCATACACGGCGCTGGGTCGTCTGGCGTGCAGCTCTTCCAACACCAAGCATGGCTTTTCGCAGGAAAGGCTACTACCGCGGCTTCCCCAACGCCCTCTCCGACGGCCTCCCCGACGCCCTCCCCGACGGCCTTCCCGACGCCCTACCCGACGCCCTTCCCGACGCCCTTCCCGACGCCCTACCCGACGGCTTTCCCAACGCCCTACCCGACGCCGAGCCCGACGCCTAGGCCCAACGTATCCTGTCGGTTGGCCGACGCCGCATCCGACGTTTCCTCCAGGGGCTGCCATGGCGGGCGGAGCCGGCGGTGCGGCTGCCACTGGGGACCCCCACCTGCAGAACGTTCACGGTGAGCGGTTCGATTTAATGCAGCCAGGCAAGCATGTGTTAATTAACATCCCTCGAGGAGTGCGCCCTGACGAGGCATTGCTTCGAGTGCAGGCTGATGCGCGCCGAATGGGTAGCTCTTGCGCGGACATGTACTTCGTCGGTGTCAATGTTACGCCAAATTTCGCAGAGGCAGGCGAGCTGGAAGGGTAGCGTTTACGCGTGTCGACACGTGCATCGAGACTACCACCTGGTTTATGGCGGACGACAACAAAGCCCAGTGTGTTCAGGCCAACACGGAAGTGGCATCAGCTACTTGAACCGTTTCGTGAAACATTTGGGACGGCAGTTTTTGGCAGTCGGAGGCCTGCTGGGAGAGGACGACCACAACGACGTTATGATTCCTCCACCAGGTTGTACCCATCATGTGGGTCTTGTGGACGCTGATCTGGGAGTGAGCGGCAAGGGTCCTTCCGTGTCTTCGGTTGCAGTGGCATATTTTTGATGATATCCAGTTGCTTGCGGCAAATCCGCCAGCGTGCCAGCGAAGCATTCTGTGTGGCAGCCCTGATCTCATTGTTAGGACGGCCGTCACACGTGACACCTCTCGTCTCGATTTCTTGATGAGCTCCCATGGGTCTTATTTCGACCATCTTGGGGCTTTCTTGGCCTTCTTGCGGGTTCCTTGACGCCATTCTGATCCGTCTTGTGGCCTTCTTGGGGCCCCCTTGGCGGACCAGGGTGTCTCTAGGTTGGGCGGTCTAGGGGCCCTCGTTGGCCTTTTTGGGTTCCTCTGGAGGCCCTGTTGAGCCAGCTGGGGCTTTCTTGGGGCCGTCCCGGGCTGCCTCGGGGCCCTCGTGTGGCTCTCGGTGGGCACTTTGGGGTCTCCGCAGGCAGCAGGTGGACCGATCTCCGACCGAAGATCGCGGGCAGCGGCACACACACACATACTCACACACACTCTTCTCACTCTGACGCTCACACTCACACAGTCACGCTCACACTCACACTCGCACTCACACTCCCACTCAAACTCGCACTCACACACATTCACACATTCACACACATTCACACACACGAACACACACACACTCACACACGCGCCCGCCCGCACACACACACACTCACACACACACACTCACACGCACACTCACACTCACACACATTTACACACATGCACGCGCATTCACACACACGCACACACACACACACGCACACACACACACACGCACACACACACACACGCACACACACACACACGCACACACATACACACGCACGCACACACACAAACACTCACACGCACACGCTCACACGCACACACACACACACTCACACTTACACTCTCACCCACACACGCACACACTCACGCTCACACTCACATTACCACACGCACGTTCACACACATGCACACATGTCC